GGGAAGAAGGGATTACAAAGCATGGAGTAAGGAGATAAACAGGTAGACAGAATCAGAGCAGGATAGCAAATACTCAATTATAGCATTAAAGACAAACGGAAGGAAAATACCAAAGACAAAGATAATCTTGTCATTTTAACCACAAACTCATAACACAAGATGGAATAAGATGTGAGAAAAACAACTTAGGAGGGAAGAGAAAAGGGACTGAATCAGTTTAGTCTAAGGAAAAAAGACACCATCAGAAAAGGGACTATCTTATCCACAAGATTTTGAACACAAATCTCATGGTAACCACTAAACAAAAAAAGCAGAACACAGACACAAATAATAAATAAGGACAAAACAAAGAAACACAACATAAAAAACCACATAACTTGACTGGTCGACCAAAATACACAGAACAAGAAACAAAGGAAATGCAGGAGAACTGGAAAACGACTGATAAAATGGTAGCATTAAGCCCTCATATATCAATAATCACCCTAAATGTAAATGGACTGAATTCTCCAATAAAAAGACACAGAGTGGAAAGATGGATTAAAGTACAAGAACCAGGGCCAGCCCTGTGGCCCAGTGGTTAAGTTTGTGCGCTCTGCTTTGGCAGCCCAGGGTTTCGCCAGTTCAAATCTTGGACGCAGACATGGCACCGCTCATCGGGCCATGTTGAGGCGGAATCCCACATGCCACAACGAGAAGGACCCACAACTAAAAAATATACAACTATGTACTGGTGGGATTTGGGAAGAAAACGCAAAAAAGAACAAGATGCAACATTATGCTGCCTCCAGGAAACACATCTCAGCTCCAATGACAAACACAGGCTCAGAGTGAAGGGCTGGAAGACGATACTCCAAGCTAACGGCAAATAAAAGAAAGCAAGTGTTGCCATACTTAGACAAAGTAGACTTCAAGATAAGACAGGAAAAGAGAGACAAAGAGGGGCAGTATATAATGATCAACAGGACATTCCATCAAGAAGAAATAACACTTGTAAATATCTATGCATCCAACACAGCAGCATCAAAGTACATAAAGCAACTATTAACAAGGCTAAAATAAGATATTAACAATAACACAATAATAGTAGGGGACCACAACACTCCACTCACATCAATGAATAGATCATCCAGACAGAAAATCAACAAGGAAACAGTGGAATTAAATGAAAAGCCACACAAGTTGGACTTAACAGACATATATACAACACTCCATCCCAAAACAGCAGAATATACGTGCTTCTCAACTGCGCACGGAACATTCTGCAGGACAGACCATATGGTGGGAAACAAGGCAAGCCTCAATAAATTTAAGAAGATTGAAATGATAACAAGCATCTTTTCTGATCACATGCTATAAAGCTAGAAATTAATTACAAGAAAAAAGCTGAGAAAGGTACAAAGAAGTGGAAACTAAACAACATGCTATTGAACAAGCAATGGATCACTGAAGAAATTAAAGGAGAAATCAAAAAACATCTGGAGACAAATGAAAATGAAAACATATCATACCAACTCATATGGGGTGCAGCAAAAGCTGTATTAGGAGGGAAATTTACCACAATAGAGGCTCACCTTAACAAACAAGAAAAATCCCAAATAAGTCATCTCAAACTACAACTAATTGAATTAGAAAAAGAACAACAAACAAAGCCCAAAGTCTGCAGAAGGAGAGAAACAATAAAAATCAGAGCAGAAAAAAATGCTATCGAAACAAAAAAGGCAGTAGAAAGCATCAATGAAACAGCTGGTTCTTTGAGAAGATAAATAAAATTGACAAACCCCTAGCCAGACTTACAAAGAAAATAAGAGAGAAAGGATAGATAAATAAAATTAGAAATGAAGGAAGAGAAATAACAATGGATACCAGAGAAAGACAACGGATTATAAGAGAATACTATGAAAAACTATATGCCAAAACATGGACAAAATGGACAATCTAGAGGAAACGGATAAATTTTTAGACTCTTACAACCTCCCAAAGCTGAATCAAGAAGAAATAGAGAATGTGAATAGACCAATCACAAGTAAAGAGATTGAAACAGCAATCAAAAGCATCCCAAAGAATAAAAGCACAGGACCAGAGGGCTTCCCTGGGGAATTCTACCAAACATTCAGAGAGGATTTAATACCTATCCTTCTCAAGCTATTCCAAAAAATTAGGGAAGATGGACTGCTTCCTAACACATTCTACAAGGCCAACATCACTCTGATACCAAAGCCTGACAAGGACAACACAAAAAAGGAAAACTACAGGCCAATAGCGCTGATGAACATAGATGCAAAAATCCTCAACAAAATATTGGCAACCCAAATACAGCAATACATCAAAAAGATCATGGATCAAGTGGGATTAATACCAGGTACACAGGGACTGTTTAACATTCACAAATCAATGAATGTGATACACATTAACAAAATAAGGAATAAAAACCACATGATCATCTCAATAGATGCAGAGAAAGCATTTGACAAGATCCAACTGCCATTTATAATAAAAACTCTTAGCAAAATGGGGATAGAAGGAAATTACCTCAACATAATAAAGGCCATATATGACAAATGCACAGCCAACATCATACTCACTGGGGAAAAACTGAATGCAATCTCTCCAAGAACAGCAACAAGACAAGGATGCCCACTATCTCCACTCTTATTCAACATAGTACTGGAGGTTTAGGCCAGAGCAAATAGGCAAGAGAAAGGAATAAAGGGAATCCAAACAGGTAATGAAGAAGTCAAACTCCACAGACGACATGATTTTATATACAGAAAACCCTAAAGAATCCATTGGAAAACTATTAGAAATAATTAATAACTACAGTAAAGTGGCGGACTACAAAATCAACTTACCCAAAGCAATCTACAGATTCAATGCAATCCCAATCAGAATCCCAATGACATTCTGCAGGGAAACAGAGCAAAGAATCCTAAAATTCATATGGGGCAACCAAAGACCCCGAATTGCTAAAGCAATACTGAGAAAAAAGAACAAAGCCGGAGGCATCACAACCCCTGACTTCAAAATGTACTACAAAGCCATAGTGATCAAAATGGCATGGTACTAGCACAAAAACAGACCTACAGATTAATAGAACAGAACTGAAAGCCCAGAAATAAAAACTCAAATATATGGACAGGTAACCTTTGACAAAGGTGCCAAGAACATACTATGAAAAAAAACAAGTCTCTTAAAGAAATGACATTGGGACAACTGGACAGCCACATGCAAAAGAATGAAAGGAGATCATTATCTCACACCACACACAAAAATAAATTCAAAATGGATCAAAGACTTGAAGATAAGTCCTGAAACCATAAAACTCCTGTAAGATAATATAGGTAGTACACGCTTTGACATGAAACTTAAAAGGACGTTTTCAAATACCATGTCTTCTCAGACAAGGGAAACAAAAGAAAAAACAAAGAAGTGGGAGTTCATCAGACTAAAGAGCTTCTGCAAGGCAAAAGAAACTAGGATCAAAACAAAAAGACAACCCACCAATTGGGAGAAAATATTTGCAAATCATCTATCTAATAATGGGTTAATCCCCAAAATATACAAGGAACTCACACAACAGAACAACAAAAAAACAAACAGCCTGATCAAAAAATGGACAGACAACATGAAGACATTTTTCCAAAGAAGATATACAGATGGCCAATAAACACATTAAAAGATGTTCAACATCACTAATCATCAGGGAAATGCAAATCAAAACTACACTAAGATACCACCTTTACAACTGTTAAAATGGCTATAATCACTAAGACTAAAAATAACAAATGTTGGAGAGGGTGTGGAGAAAACGGAACCCTCATACACTGCTAGTGGGAATGCAAACTGGTGCAGCCACTACGGAAATCAGTATGCAGATTCCTCAAAAAACTAAAGACAGAACTACCATATGACCCAGCTATCCCACTACTGGGTATCTACCCAAACAACCTGAAATCAACAACCCAAAGTAACATACGTACCCCTATGCTCACTGTAGCACTATTCACAAGAGCCAATACATGGAAACAATCCAATTGCCCAGGGACTGATGATTGGATAAAGAAGAGGTGGTATACATATATACGATGGAATACAACTCAACCATAAAAAAAGACAAATTCATTCCATTTGCAACAGCATGGAAGGACCTGGAGGGAATTATGCTAAGCAAAATAAGCCAGACTGAGAAAAAGACAAACACCAGATGATTTCAAACTCATGTAGAATATAAACAAAAACATGGACAAAACAGTTCAGTGGTTACCAGGGGAAGCGGGGTGGGGAGTGGGCATGGGGTGGGGGTGAAGGGGAGCACTTATGTGGTGACAGACAAGAAATAAGGTACAATTGAAATTTCCCAATGACGTAAGCTATTATGAACTCAAATTTTAAAAAAGTTACATAAAAAAATACATATATAAAAGATGAAAACTTGCTATTTGGTCAAATTTCTATCATTCAAACTTCAAAAATCTTTCTGCATGCCTTTACAACAGTATACCACCATCCACAAAAAAGCTGCCTGGAAAAGTTAATACATTTCCAAGACTACAAATTATTACAGTTTTATTGTAGTGTTAATATCCTTGAGTGAGACAGGTATACAAAATTAATATTGGAAAACTAGTAGGTCAGAATGAAAAAACAGACAAATGGAATGCTTACAGACAAACAGAAAAAAAGAAAATCACTTTATCAATCTGGGTTTCTGTAAAAAGAATAAACACATTCACCTAGAATCTTTATGCTGAAGAATATGAAATCAAACTTCTACCCCAAATAAGATAAAGCACAAGTAAACAAAATGCAATAAAATAAGTAACCAAAAAAAATGCCCTCACAAAATATTCAGAAAATTAAAAAGAGCTAATTATATTTACTGAATGACATAAAGCAGCCTAAGTTTTCTGTAATGTCAAATCCATTATCTTTAAAAAAAAAAAATTTTTTTAAAGGCAAACAAATCTTAATAAACATTACTGACCATAAATTAAACTTACCTTCTTATCTTCTTTTACTTTGTGGGTTTTCTTCTTCATCTTCTTATCATCTAACTCCTGGTCGGAAGTGATTGCAGGATTATCAATACCACCTTTCCAAGTTTCCACAGGAGAAAGCAGTGGATCTTCCTCACTTCCTCGATGTCTTCCTTTTCTTTTTGTTTTAGAAGTGGTAAAAGCCTCATCATCACTTGCATCTGAATGTGTTCTTCTATAGTACGACTTGGCTTTACTAAACAAGGTTTTAGATTTATATTTGTATTTTGAAGGCCTTCGTTCTCCATGACTTTTTGAGGTTCTATCTGAAAATCCATTTTCTTCATCTCCTTGGGTGTTATTTACAAATGAGTTTCGAATTTTAATAATGCGATTCTGACTATCATCTGGGACAACATATATCTCATCAGGATAGCCCTTCTGTCTGAAGATTGTGTCAATGGGTTCCGAATAGTTATCTGAAGGATCCATATCTTCAGGATGTGCCAAAGGCACCCGGGAAGTCTGTTTTCTTGGATTTTTACCTATACCAGCTTCAATTGTTTTTAAAAGGTTTGGATCTAGTTTTTTCACATTTGTCTTAGGTACAACTGGTTTAGGTTTAATAGGTGGAGGCACTTTATGGTTGCGTTCATGGTCATGACAGTTTGGGGTACTATGAATAGGATATTCATTTCCTTCCAAATCTAATCTGTATCTGGAACGGTCACTAGGTGTTGGAAGCAACTGTACATCATCCCCAATTGGACTATAAGGAGGTGGCGCTTCTGTATCATCATCTGAATCAGGGTAGTTGTTATAGGGAAAACAGTCTCTGGGAGATGGTAGAAAAACATCTTCGCTTTGATGGGTTGATTCTCTTGTATTATCAGATAAATAAGAATTTTCTATCATATTTTTTTTCTCTAGAACATCACTGAAAAACAGTGTAAAGACCTCAGTTTGCCGATGATATTGAGATAAAGAATACAACGCTGTAAATTTAGCAGTGATCTCAGTTGCAATGTGTTCACCTTCAGTCATTAATTCCTTAATGGCCTCATTTTCAAAAAAATCTGCTTGGCTGTCAGTAACTGCCACAAGCTGTACAGGAATGGTGTCCTGAACTTCTGATAGAAATGCTCGAAGCATTCCCATTGACGCTTTCCGTTTGGCAGAATAAACTAATATATACCCATGAACCAGTTCATCTTTCCGAACTCCAATTGATGAATGGTATGATAAGATTGTGATCTGTATTCGCCTCCTTTTTTCACCAATAATTTTATCAAGCATTAGGGAATTATTCTGTCCAGCTTGAGCAGCACTGCAAGAATGAGAATCAAGGAAGGGTGAAAGAATAAGATCCACACTAAATGGATCACCACACATGGCACACATGACAATTCTCAAGTCAGCTTCCGATACATCCTTATTGGTAGGAACTGGGCTCACCACATCTAAATTATGTTTAACTGATTCTAATACTCCTCTTAGAGCTTGCTTTATCTGGGTTTCATTAAATTTACGAGGATATGTACCAGCAGGTACATCTACAAAAGGACATTGTAACTTGTTTGCCAACTGTTGCCCTTGGTGCCTGAGAATTGGTAGATTCTTACTAATAGAATCTCTCTGATTAGCCAGAATTAATGTAAATGGAAGATTAGCCATATATTTATCTTTTCTGATCTGAGAAGCTTCAGTTCTTATTTTTCCAATAAATTCACCAATAAAATTCAGTGACTCAATGGAATTAAATACACAGAAGCACCCATGTGGTTTAAAGGCGGCAGTCCACAACTGACTTAAAAAGTAAGGCGACTTGGCATCAACTGGCCGAAGATCAAGTTCATAAATTTTTCCATCTAAGGCATACTCATCATCAGTGGATTGTGTCCTTATCTCATTTGCTAGCTCTTGGGCAAGGCCATCCTTCCCTAAAATGAAAAGATTAACTTTATCTATATTGGTACTATCATGATACAACCGTAAGCGGCCATGATCCAACTGCAAAAGGCTACTGGCAAGTAACTGCTCCACTTTAATGTCAGTACAATTTTGGCCACTAAGACATGTTTCTTTAGTGGGATGATAAACAAACCCTATATGCTTAAGTAGAAGAGATTCCCTATCAGGTGCAAGTTTCTGTAAAGCTTTATATCTAGGTTCTTCGCTCAAAACTGTATGAATTTCACTCATTTTATCTGAACTGGGTGTTGCATTAAGATCTAAATCATAAAAAAGTTCAGAATGCTCAAAAAGCATTTCCTGAAACTCTTCTTTGGCTTTTTCAACTATTTCTCGCTGATGCCTACCATACACTTCTTTGCTATCAGCCTCAGTAATATATTTGAAGGCTTCATCCTCCATAACAAAGCACATAACTTCCTCCCACGGCTGCCCAGGTGAAATGAACTGAATTTTTTCCAAAGTCTTTTTGAATTTTTCCTTCATTTCTACCCTCCTCTTCTCTGATATTAGATGTTGTACATGGTTCTGATAGACTTTTTCAGCTTCTAAAGTGCTCAGGAGGTCAAATGGAATCCGTCTATCATTAATTTTGTCTATATGGTCAGTTTCATCCCAAGGTGTTTTCTCTAGCACCACAAAACATAACTGAAAATCTGCTCTCTTTTCCATTAATTTCAAAGCTTCTGACCAATTCAAATGTTCAATCTCTTCTAGATTTGGCAAAAGAGTGTTAAAAGCTCTTGGTAAAGTGTTTATATATTCTTCTCTCCTTTTTCTTATATGTTCCTGTTTAAGTTGTTCTATATGTTTTGAAAACGTATTTCTGGCCTTTCTTGTTCCCTCTAAGTTGATGTATTCTTCATAATCAGGATGATTTTTTAATTTATTACTAACAGTTTTCCAAGTTGCATGATAATCTCTCACAGTCTGCACAAGTTTTTCAAACTTATCTGTTGCTGTGACAACAAGTTGTCTCTGTGTTTTATAAGCATCCAGATAGGGAATAATTTTAGGTTTGCCACGAGTTTTATCCAACATTTGTACCAGTGCAGTGAAACATGTCTCAATGTTGACGTTAAATCGTGCTGATGTTTCCACTACAAGAAGGTTCTTTTTGTTTGAAGCAAATGCCTGAACTTCTCTAAGGTAATGATCCACGCATTCATCACATTTAGTTGCTGCTATTATTACAGGTTTTTTTGATTTTGATAGTTGGACAAAAAGGTTATTCACAAATTTAAGTTGGTCATCAAACTTTCTATTACATCCCTGACTTACGTCAATGCACAATAAAAATCCATCTACGTTGAGCTTCCCTTCAGGCATTTGCTTCTGTTCAAAGTCTTGCTCCAAGCCCAGCTGATCAGTGCAAATGTACATTAGTTTTTCTGCTGACTGCAATTTAGAGGCAGCTGCACGTTTTATATATGGTTGCAAATTCGTACTCCGATGAGGCAAGAAAGTCTGGTCATCAATGAACTCTGTTTGTTCAATGACATGAATTTTGCATTCTACTCCATCTTCACCATTTTGTGTTATGTCACCCCAGTACAAAAAGTGATCATTATTTACTACTCGTCCTCCAAAGTCAATGGTGCTAAGCACAGAAGTATGCTCTGGATAATATTCATCTGCTTTTGAGCGTACAAATCTATTGCACAAACAGGACTTTCCAACTCCACAGTTACCCTTGTCTTTTTCAGTCCCAGAGAGTCCAACTACACTGATAGTATAGGATGGGGGGCGAGGCTCTTTGTTTTTTGCCATCATAACTCTCTTCTCATGTCTCTACATTCATAAAGGTAATCAGATATACTTCTCATTCTGAAAATAAAATTCCCTCAAAATACAGATCCCGAATTTCAGAACTATATTTGGTTCTTTGTATTTCCCTCATTTCTGTGCAGAAAGGTCTTCAAGATCATATGGATCATCTTCCTAGAAAGAGGAGAAAAAGGACAATTCTTAATCATGAATTACACACACTGAATTATATATATATTAAAGATGCTCACAACAAAGCACCATGCAAGTTAACAGCAATGTTACATGTATTCTAAGAAGGCACCAGAAAGAGAGTTTATGATTTACTGTTACAAATGCAAGCTGACCTCAAAATTTAAGGCAAATCTAACAATTAAAATGACTAAATATAAAATGTAATGTAATGTCTCACAAACTTTAAAATAAGCCCCTATTAACCAAATGTGCATTTTCTCTCAACTCCTTCCTGAGTTTGAAGAACCAACTAGTCCTTCCTCTCCCTCAATTTTCCTGCCTTATGTGACAGGAGACTATTTGGTGATAATAAAACGTATTAATTGCCTTAACAATTCCCTCATGACTTTTAAACACAACCTGCTATCTATTACATGGCTCCTCAAAACTTATTCCCTGAAATGGAATTTCATACAAATTTATCAAGATTTGGGGATTAAAAATTTTCCAAGAAGTGTCAAAACAGTCCTGTGAAATTTATAAAATTTTATGCCCAAAACCAATTAAGAATATTTAAATACTTAAACAGGGAAATAGAAGAAAACGGACAGTTAATACAAATAAGTACAATATTTAATTAGATAGATCAATGCTTCTCAAATTATCCAAGGTGAAGGACTAATTTTTTTTTCATATCTGCAAGTCCAATTTTGTAGAAAATAATTTTTTTTTAAAATCCAAGCCCCAATGTCTTATTAAATTCAAGATACATTAAATTACTGTCAAATTGTTTCCAAATGTTCTTGATTTCTACATTTATTTTCTATCAGAGTAGTTATAAAGAACTCATGGATCACATTTTGAGTAACACCAAGCTAAAGAATTTTAAGATTATATACTTGAGATAATCTTTTAGAATTTTTTAATATACCAACATTATGTAACCTTTAAGAATTGCATGTAATTTAATTTAGGTTATTTATTTATGTGGAAACAAGGAATTGGTCTCTTATAAAAGTTTTATTTGGTACGTCACATTCTTTTGAGGTTGAATTAAAAGCAAGACATCATTTCCACATCAAAATTTCACAAGGTGGGGAAAATATCCAGTCATGTACATCAACAGATGTGAAAATTATCTTCAATCCAGATAAAATAAAGAATATATAGAACTTGGAGAGAAAAAAAATAAAAGGTAAGAACCACCAAATACCTGGCTTCTCCACTGACCTCAACTGCAAGTAAACATCTATTCAGATTATACTGCAACTTGCTCTAACAACTAATGGAAAAGAGAAATTGTTCTTGTAATTTAAAATTTTGGCTAATGTTTCTGCTAATATTTAAAAATAAAATTTCAGATTTATTCTTATTCTCTAGAAGTTTATTCTATTAGCCTCAACCAAATATTAACAATATCACCCATGTGATACCCAAACAAAATGTTTAAGGTCACTTTTGTAACGAATAAAACATTACTATGTTGAAGGAGCAACACAAGTAGAAAACCATGAGTAAATAGAACAGATTTCAAATTTGACTCCTATAATTTACTAGTTTATGACAATAATAAAACACCAAACCTCTTGAGACATGGTTCCTCCATCTATAAAATGGGGCCACATATCTATACAAATTTAAGAACTAAATCACTTTTTAAAATGTTAAGTGCCTAGTATACAAAAGGTGCTTAATAAACACTAGTTCTGTTTCTTAATTGATTCTTAGAACCAGGGAAGCTGCCGAAGATTTATAAAAACAATGTGATGAGACTTGTGACTTACAAATATTTATCTGACAGCAGTATACACAATAATTAGAAGTAAGAGGAATTAGGGCAGTCTCATCCGATCCTATTAACTCTTTTCTTATTAGCAAAATTTTTTAAAAATCTTAATCTGGTCAAACTGAGTATTTGTACCCAGCACTAAGTTTTACCATTCCTTATCTAAACTGTGTAAAAGAACAATTGGACTACCTTATGGATATTTACGGAAAAACATACTGAATTAACTGGATAACAAAGTTATATATAGTGATTAAAAAGTGAAATTAGTCTGTGAAAATAGCACAATGATTCCACAGCTAACAAGGAAAAAATTGAAAACATAGTAGAATACAAGGTCTATCCTTCCTTCTTACTGGAAAAGCAAAGACTGCAGATGATATACTTTAAAATGTACATCAAGAAAATATATCTAGTGATTACTCTGGGGAATTTTTATGTTAAACAGTACAAACACTAGAACTACATATAACTCTTTATTAAACTTCTATTCTGAAAACTAAGAGCAATTCAGACACTTGTAAGACTGTCCTCTTCCTTCTAGTTTAAGAGGCACAAGGTTGTTAAAAGAAAAGTAGCAACACAATGTCAATGAATGCACCTGAGTACTGCAGAAAATTTTCAACTACAAACCTAATCCTTGCCATAAGAGTCACATCTTTACTAATATTTCTTATACTTATCCAAACACCTTAAAAGTAAGACTCACTTCTGCTCTTCGATAGCATAAACCTCAAAATACTGAGATACTTTTCTATCTTAAGTTACAGAGTGTTAAAAACAGAAAGTGAACACTCTATCACAAAATGTATTTTTTTTTTTGAGGAAGATTAGCCCTGAGCTAACTGCTGCCAATCCTCCTCTTTTTGCTGAGGAAGACTGGCCCTGAGCTAACATTCGTGCCCATCTTCCTCTACTTTATATGTGGGATGCCTCCCACAGCATGGCTTGCCAAGCAGTGCCATGTCCACACGCGGGATCCAAACTGGCAAACCCTGGGCCCCCAAAGCGGAACGTGTGAACTTAACCACTGCACCACGGGGCCGGCCACCACAAAATGTATTTTAAAAGTCTCAGGGGCCAGCCCAGTAGTACACAGCAGTTAAGTTTGCACACTCTGCTTCAGCAGCACGGAGTTCGCCGGTTCAAATCCCAGATACAGACCTACGCACTGCTTATCAATCCATGCTGTGGCAGGCATCTCACGTATAAAGTAGAGGAAGATGGGCATACACGTTAGCTCAGGGCCTATTTTCCTCAGCAAAAGAGAGGAGGATTGGCAGTGGATGGATGTTTGCTCAGGACTAATCTTCCTCAAAAACAAAAAAAGTTTCAGGAGGAAAGGGCCTTAAAACTAAACGAAGATGAGTTGAAGGCATGAACTCATCACCCTTTCACTGGTCATTGAAAACTGGAAGGCTTTTTATCTAATAGAGTAATGAAATTCTACTATATTGAAGATAAACTTTAATACTGAGGCTTGAACACATCCTAATTAATTTGATAGTGGCAGTCTCTGAACCGTGATTAAAGTTTAAATTAAAAATAAGATAACTTTGCATGACACTTACAGTTTTCACACCAAATTCACAGTAAACTACCAATGAGACACCGCGAGGAACATCCACGTTCTTCTTTCTAACGCTGCTCTCAGGCAGGTTACCTGCTAGTATTTTGAAGTCAGCTCCAGAGCTTGTCATGGAGTCACTACATAGTGATTTTCAAACTGTGGTGGAAAAATTCTTTCACCTAGAGTTGAGAAAGACGGATATTGGGCAAACAGTTGCCTTCTCCTTCCAAGTGTCTCATCCGAGCAGTGCTTTCTTTATCTGATTTACAGGTTCACTTAACTCAAGCTTTAGTTTAAAAAAAAGTTTTCAGATTTAAAAAAAGTTTGAGAAATGCTAGACTAGAAAAAAATTGTCACATAGCCCTCAAAAAGATTTTGCCATTTATTTCAATGAGTATGGTATTACAACCTCATGGGACAAAGACAGTTTCCATGAGGTTGGCTGTAATAGGTTGTAAGGGAATTTAATTTCAGACACTTGGATAGTTTATATATCCATGAATTACCCAGTGGTCCTCAACATCCATGTCAAAATTGCCCTCCATTAACTAATCAAGGTGGTTTTTCTTCTACGCTGAGAAAAAAAAGAATCCTTTCTGGGTTTTGTGCTCCCAATAATAAACTAATGGCCAATATCTATCTGCAGGCCGTTTAAGTGGAAAATTCCTTTCAAATATGTTTAATGGTAATATTTAATTATGTCAATTCACACATATCTTTTCGATTTTTGACGTTAACTTTATTTTCATGAAACTTGTTCTTGTCTTCTCCTAACATCTAGCATCATGCTTATTCTTACTCATGAAGAAACCAAGACAAAAGTAGCAACGATTTACTACTCAGTTATAGGGTTAAGTCTCTTGATGACCAAATCTTTACTTTCTTAAGCATTAGTGCTCTTTTAATAGTAGGCAATGCAATTTCTCATTTTGCCTTTAAGATTATCTTATAAACTTATATTTTATTTCAAGGAAATGTTTACATTAAGTATCCTTACAAAAATTAATGACAATATATAATTTGAGTGGAACTGCCTTACAACTGTCTGCTGAAATGAAACTACTACAACTAAGTTTTCTAAGATATTTTACTAAGCCATTCAAAGACAACATGCCCCTTTTAAGAGTTTTAATAACATGAAGTTGCTTTCTGCAAAAAAAAAAAAAAATTTAAGTTCTACAACGAATCTAGGAAATCAAAAAAATAGCTTCTTAGTAATTCTGAATTTAAAATCTTGCTTTGTACCTTTTCACAAAACATTACATTGATTAATAAAAGGCACAATTTTTAAAATATTTTATACTTCTAAGTTATTATGCCGTGTCAGGAAATTCCTAGTGGCCCTATTTTCAAAATATATCCCAAATTTATCACTTTTCACTACCTTTACTGCTATAACTCTGACCCCACCCATCATCATCTCTGGCCCTAGATTATTCCGAAGGCTTCTAATCTAATATCCCTGCTTCCACTCCTGATCCTCTTTCCCATTCTATTCATATTAGAGCAATCAGAGTGTTCCTTTTAAAATCTAAGTCACAGCCTCCCATTCTTCTGCTCAAAACTCTCTAGTGGCTCCTAAAAGTAAAAGCCAAGTTCTTTCAATGGTTTATGAAAGATCTGCCTTCTCCAACCCTATCTTACTCTCTGACCTACTCTCATACTATTCTCCCCATTCTCATTCGGCGCCAATAACACTGAGAACACGAAGCTGTTCCTCAACATGCTAAGCATGTTCCTGCTTTTGCACTTACTTTTCCCAATAACCCTCCAAACCCCCCTTGCTAACTCCCTATCTCCTAACTTATTATTCAACTTACTTATTACTTGTCATTAACTCTATCCTTCTCTCCACCCCACTGCAGGTTTAATAAAGATCCATAAAGGCACAAATTTTGTTTATTTCATCAATATATCCCAAGACCCTAGAACAGTGCCTCCCACATAGTAGCTACTCAATAAATGCATGAATCCTAATAAATACTAAAATCAAAATGCTTTTAATTATTTGGCAAAAAAAGGTAAAACACTGTTTACTAAATAAGTGCTGAAATTTATTAACCTAAAAGGTTTTCCAAAGCTATTTATGGAGAAAATATACATATATTTCAAGGTCCCAATAATTTAGTCAAAAATTAAGCCGTCAGAATGAAGACTGTGATCTATAATAATGTATTCAACCAGAATCATCATCTAATTTTTAATTCTGACATTCAAACATTTTTTTAAATCACAAATATTTATATAGGAAATTACATTTTGAAGACCTAATTACATAGAAGGAGATTTGTAATCACACGCCTCATCTTCAGCCAAATAAATAAAATATCCTTATATAAACAAATATTTAAAAGAGAAGACAGATCCAAGCCCAAAGATTATCATATATGCCACAATCTTAGGTAAATTATCTAGAGTAGTTTAAGAATAAAAATATCAACTGTATACTAAAAGATGAATATAGCATAATACTGATATATTACTTTTCTTAATGTTGCTCTTTCTCAAAGACAAATTTATCAGTGCTGTGAAATATTAAAAAAGGAAATGAAAAGCCATTTTAACATATATCAGTCAAATACACAATGTAATACTTGTATAAGTATTCTATATTTTCTTTGACCAAGGTTTCCACCACAGAAGCACACAATTTTAAGGTTGAAAGGAACACTAAAAAGTCATCATTCCTATGAATTAGTCTTTGGACAAGACTATAATCCAGTGAATAAAAAGAGATCTATTAAAAATTTGAAGAATTTATGTAATGACTAAATAACCTGGAAGCATATCCTGGTAGGATTCAGGACTAAACTGTTAGGATGGAAATTTTGTTTGTTTTTTTACCGTATTCCCATCATCCAGCACAGTGCCCAACACAGAGTAGTGCTCAAATATATGATGACGAAATGAAGCAATCTCTAGACTCAGATCCTAAACCACTAAGCAATCTTGAAGCCACTTTTGTAGTCACAATTAACAAAAATCACATAGTGCTATGGGCCCATGTCTAGTATAGCAGAATATTCTAACATAAAAAGTTCAGGTTTTTTTCAAGACCTATAGTCTGCTCATTAACACAAATTATGGGTTTATAAACAGTAAGCCTAAAGACTCAATGGAAGTACTTCCAGGAGGGTCCAAGTAGGCAGTACTCTGAGAGTTCCCCAAGCCCTACTCAGCAAAGGTAATGCTGTTTACACCCATTTTACCTTTTGATATTTCAAGCCTCTGCTGTTTGAAAAAAAGTTTCACTGCATAAAATACTCAAAAACCAATGACCCAAACTATTCCCAAACAGATTAACTGCCTACCCTATTATTTAATCTATACTTTCCTCTAACAACATATTACGTCTCTGAGGCCCTGGTGTGAAAGCTATTCTAACTCTTCCTAGATCACTTCCTTATTCTGTGAACCAAAAGTCACCTCATTTATATCAACCTATGTAAATAACCCCTTAAGTATTTTGCTCTGCTTAGCTACTATATGCTCAGCTTTATGTCAGAGGTTTTGAGGTTACAAATGTAGGTATACGGAAGTCCGCTAAGCCAGTGCTATGAATACGCTCACCTCCCTTCCAGGGTCTCTGAGTCCCTTATCCTCACTTTGGAGAACTGAGAAGGGTGAGGGAAGGGCATAATTTTACATTCAATATTGTAAGGCTATAAATGGAGGGAAACCATTATTTTCATTATACAAACTACTTAGGTAAGGTTTAACAATTTTCTTAATGATAGGAACATTAAGAGGCTGAATAAGAATCTCAGGAAGGGGTAAAGACTAAAACAGACATGGATTTTTAAAAAAAGGCTCAAAAGCACTTTTTCTCACTATTTTTCAGCTTTATAGCACACCACAGCTAAAGAGACAAAAGCAATGTGCTGTACAGTCATGCGTCCCTTAACGACAGGGATACATTCTGAGAAACACATCATTAGGCAATCTCATTGTATGAACATCATAGAGTGTACTTACACAAACTTAGATGGTATAACCTACTACACACCTAGGTTATATGGTATTAATCTTACGGGACCACCAACGTATATTTGGTCCATCATTGACCAAAATGTCCTTATGCAGTGCATGACTGCACTATGGAACTGATAAATGCAACAGGAATTCAAAGAAATGAAAGATCAGTATAAGCTGGAAGAGATCAGGGCCTGCAAAACTTTTTCTGTAAAAGGCCAGACAGCAATTATTTTTAAGCTTCGCATTCCATACAGTGTCTGGTTACAACCATTCAACCGTGCCGTCATAGCACAAAAACAGCCACAGACAATACTTAGACGAATGCCCATGATTGTTTATGGACACTGAACTTTGAATTTCATATAATTTTAACACATCATAAAATACTATTAATTATTTCTTCAACCATTTCAAAATGTAGAAAGCTATTATACAAAAAAGGACAGGAGGCCTGATTTGGCCCAGAGGTCATAATCTGTAGACCCCTTGCAAAAGATTAAGTATCAGTGAATAGAGAGGATTTGAGTGAACTTTGAAAAACAGACCAGATTTGGATTTTAAAAAGACTGCCATTCCTCATGAGTGATTAGGATGGAGTAGTTGAGCACATGTGCCACCTTAGAAAGTAGAGACTCCTTATTTCATTTACTTCTGAAGACATAAGGACAACTATAGAAGGTATTCAAGGGCAAACAAGAGTTAGACCTTGTAATAAATAATAATAAGTCATTACAGACTAGAGGTGGAATACCAGACTAGATTGAGTGGGGCACAAAGCCCAAGAGATGGACAAATATGGAAGGCTTGAAATCACCTGAACTATCACAGAACTGAAAAGAGTAATCCAAGACAAAGAGAGCTTGGTGACTGGGGGCTAGATATAAGAAATAAAGACAAATGAGTCAACGTTTCTTAATGAAAAACTAATCAGTTTCAGCAATAGGCAGTGGTATCACTTGAGTTTCAGGTGACAGTATTTCCAAAGTAAAATGAAAATACAGAAATGATGAGGCAAAGTCAAGATCAGTAACATAAATTTCAAGAGCATAAATTTTAGAAAATTATTTAAGAAACAGTCAAAGAGTTACATACTTAGTTAAGAGAGAAGAGAAGAAATCTGGATCTTTCAATTCCCCAGACCAGAGGAAAGTTAATTTCCCACAGTTCTCTAAACAGTCAACCAAAATAAAAATAAATAAAGATATATCATCTTGGCTCTGAAAAGGTAAGCAAAGAAACAAACATACAATTTTCTATCAGGAAGAGTACATGATCAACAAGGAAGAAAATGAACAAACTATATCAGAAGCCAGGCAGGAGTTCTGCCAAGGCTGTCTGACAATGACAAATACAGCAACAAGGAAAGATAGTAATGCAAACATTATTTATTTCCCCATCACTCTTTTTATTAGCCTTGTGTTAATACTTTTTCCTAAATCTTTCAATCTGGCTCATAAGATACAAACTGACGATCTGACATTTATACCTTCTATCTTCCCCTCACCTGCCAATCTATCCTGCACTTCCTTGTGCTTTTGGTCCACAGTGTCATTAACTTTCCTAAATGTCTTCTTTTCTCATTTATCCCAATCTTAGCAACTCCCAAATGTTATCTCCTTTACCTAAATTCCTTTACATCAACTGTTAAATCAGTATGTACTGCCTTGTATATGGCTTTTCTACTCTGTCTTGAACTGGCGTTTATTCCTAAATTGTCGAGCTCTCTCCCCACCAGAGCTATAAGCTCTTTTAACGCTGGAATATTTTATATTCCCCTGTATCACTGGCAGTGCCTAGCTGCGCAATAAAATATTGGTCAAGGATAATAAAAGAGGCTAAATCTAATACAAAACTAGAAAAACGAAAATTCACTTTAACCAACTCTTGATGACAAAAAGCTGGAGAATCTAACCAAATGACACAAACGAGTCTCATTTTAACCCTAAAATTACAAAGTTATGCATAACTTTTCCCCAAGTACTAGTTCTAATTCCAAGGAGTAAAACACACAGACATGACAAAACATTAACAACCTATTTATTTGACTGCCAATCTCAGGTATCACGGACAATCAACCTACAAAATACAGTAAAAAAAGACCAACCTTGTTTACTGTCTCTTACATTCAAACTCCTACCTGCAGTTAAAACATCCCAATTCAAATGTTTGTTCTTCTGTAAAGGATTCCCAAAGAGGCCCTGATGGAAACAGTTGTTCCTTTTCTATTTACTCTTTTATAGTTACTACCTCTTGAGCTACACCATCACTAATTTATCTTGGTATCCCTAAGGCCAGGTACACAGTAAGTGCTAAATAAAGGTAATATGAATTAATGAGTTACAAATCAGATGCTTTCAATTTTTTTAGCACAGATGATTTTTTCCCAAAAGATTTCTTATATTTACGTACAACACACATAACAGGCAAAAACAGAAGATGCCCTGGTTTGGGAGGGTGGGTTGTCAGAGGAAGTCTCAAGACATCTAGGAAAAATATATAAGGGGTCCAAGAAACAGAATTTGAAACCCAACTAAAGTTCATACTTAAAATTCTTAGCATTGAACTATTTTCCTTAATTTCTAATACGGCTTCTCTTGGTTAGATAAAATGATCGACAACAATCTTCACTTAAACAAATAGAAGCTTGATTATTCGTCACTACACAATGGATCACTTTACCAAAGTTTCTTCACAGTTCTTTTAAAAGCCAAATTCTCCTGGTATACTTTAAATGTATTTTACAAACATTTTTTAGGAATAAAGACATTGCTAAAACAGAACACTACAATGCTTCTTAAGTCAATTATACTACTTGCATACCTTCTTGGTGTGCAAAGAAAAAATCACGGATCTCACAGCCCAAATAAATAGTCTTTAAAATAGTATCTATGGAAACTGAAGTAGTGACAATTAAAACATCCTGTAGCTACCAAGAAAATCTCTATTATGTCATTTCATATTTAAGAAGTTAATATTAAAAGCAACACTTACCTTAAGTCCTGCTAATGTTGAAAAAGTGAAAGTTTAGCACAGTCTTCATGA